GCCAGAATCAAGGCCTCGACTGTGTGGGAGGGAGTGGAGCTGGGACTGAGCCAGGAGCAGGCACTGCCTGGGCGGGGTGGGGTGGGGCGGGGCAAGGTAGGGCATGAGATGGAGCCATGAGTGCTTTGTTGGAGGGGTGCAGGGCATGGGTGGTGCCGGGCATGGGTGGTGCCTCCCTCTGCTCCGTGCACCCTGGGAGGCATGTGCCCTTGGATTTGCGGGCCGGGGGCGGTGCTGGGCTCTTCCTGGAGGGGGGTTGGGCTGGGCTGCACTTGGGGCGGGCCGCAGCACTGGGGGGAGCTATAGCAAATTTTGGGTTGGCTGCAGCCTCCCCTCCCCCTGTAGCATCCCTCCCAGCACTGCCACTGCCTGCCCCAAGTGTAGCCCCAGCCCACCCCCACCAGGAAAAGCCTGGTGCTGCCCCAGCCTGCAGCAGCAGCCTGCCCTTGCCCGGCACGCAGATCTGGGGGCACACACCCCCATGCCCTCCTGGGGTGTGCAGGAGCCACCCCTCTTCTGCATCCCCCAGATGAGCTGCTAGCAGCTCTGTTCCATGCCTTCCTGGGTGGGCAGTGCCTGCCCCAGCCCCACTCCCTCCCTCTCTGCCAGGGCACGGTGCCTTGCCACATAGCCTTGGAAGAAAACTGCCGAGAGGTGATAACCAGATGCTGCAGTAGGCAGAAGCAGCCAGAAGAGGTGCAGAACATCCAGAGAATTGTCAATGCCCTGTTCTGATTGGATATTTGCTCCAGGCCTCTCTGGCTCGCTGTACTGCTGCTGCACTTGCTACTTTCCCACTTACCCTCTCTTCCTGTCCTGTCCTCCTCAGTCCATTTTTCTTTCCATTTAGATGGTCATCCTCTAACTATCCACCCCTCAAAATCTTGCAACTAACAAATATTTGCTGCCCTCACGTGGTTTTCTCTACTTGTACTTGCCTCTTGTGTCTGTGTTGTCTGTTTGGCATGCGAGCTGTTTGAGGTAGGAACTCTTTGCTACTCTGGGCTTATACTGTGACCCTCACCACGGAGCCTATTCTTAGTTGAACCGTAGCTAGTATATTATTAATACTCAGGTTTAATAATTTGAGAATGTTCAGCTACAGGTCACCACTAGTTCAAACCTGGAGACTGACAACATCAAGGTTGTGGCAACAGGAGTCTAGAAAATGCAGATTTTATTACACCCTTGTCTTACAGTCTGTATAGATTCTTTGGTAAATTGAACTGCACTCTGGTCAAAGGACACTGTAGTGGTTAATTAAATTTGTTTCCTGCTTGGTTAGGATACCTGCCTGGACCACAAGCTGGTTGTAAGTCTTAATGAATGCCAGTAAAGCACTTGGGAACTTTCAAACAAGAGGCTCAGGTCTAAAGGCAAAAAGTCTTACTTTTACTAATTATATTCTGTGGGCTTGTATTACTTTGCTGTAGTTGGCTTTTAGATTGATTAATTATTTGATATTAAGTTTTCTAAGACCTTTTTTATTTTTCTAAACCTCCAGATAACTTTTCTGCCCTGAATCAAGCTGGCAAGTTTTTTGCTGAAGGTGAGTATGAGTTTGCATTTGCTTTACCCTCATGCTGAATTCCTTCTGCACATTTGGTCCTTTTCATTAAAGACATGCTATCTGTTAGAAGGGTGCCTAATAGATATGTATGGCACATAAGTCACAATAAATGCTCATTGAATCTATAATCTATATATGTTTTACAGAGAAAAGTAAAATGATATGGGAAGGGGCTGCAACAGGGAGCCAAAGGTCCCCTGTTACTTAAAGGGGAAAGAGTAGTAGCCTAGCCTTGCTACCTAGGCACGCAGCTAAGCCAAAGCTAGCTCCACCACAATGAGCTGGATCAGTGGTGCAGGTTTTCAGGCAGCTGGAGAATTAGAGCTGTAAACAGCTGGATTAAGCTGCAGCAGGGAGGGGAAATCCCTGTGGTTGATTAGGGAGTCATCTCACCAAAAGCAGCAAGGCTCCAAGGCAGACAAGTCCAGTGCCTGGAAGAAGGCTGGCAGTCTGGCCGCGTGTGTTGCAGGGAACAGAGCTCCTGGGAGAGAAGGGCTGTAGGAGACACCCAGGTAGGCATCCAAACCACCCTGAGAGGTGGGAGCTGAGAGCTTCAAGGGAGGGAGGGCTGATGGGATGTCATTTACCCAGAGTGGGGGGATGCTTTTGTTCAAAAGCAGTTGCTTGTACTGTTGTTGCAGTTAAGTTTACAACCAGAGGACTGGAACTGGCTATTAGGGGAGGCTAGGAGGTCATGCGGGGGTACCAGAGGGGCACGCTAGAGTTGGATGTTGCCATAGGAGGGGCTCGAGTTAGGGAGACGGAGACCAGCAGAAACTGAAGGGGGGCCTCAAGCCTGATCCAGGGAGTGGGTACAGGTTCCCTCAAACTGAAGAAGGTGAGGGCCTGCGCCCAGAAGGATCAACAAGGGCTAGGCAGCAGCTGACGATAAGGCTAGGACTGAGGAGCCAGGCCAATGTCAGTGGCCCCAGGTTTGGGAGCCTGCAGCTAGAGTAACTGGTGGGCCAAGGCCAAGAGGGATGAAGCCTGTACCAACCGGTATGAGGAAATATGGAGTGACATCTGCAGGTCATGGGCATGGCTATAGGAATGGACGGAGGCCACAAACAGCTCATAAAGTGCCTGGTGTTCTGTCATGCTAACAGAGCCTGAAGGGCACAACTAAATGTCCAAGTGGCAAGTTTGTTGTGGACCTGCTGTAAGACGTTGGGGCAGACTCCCAAGCCCTTTGAGTGGCATTAAGCAAAATAACAGGGAAGAGCTGGAGGAAGCAGTAACCACGTGTCCACTGGGGGCATCACAGGGGCATACAGCAAGTGAATATCACAATTAAAGTTCATGAAATATGCATGGTTCTTGAGCACCTTAGTGTCACACAAGTTTTGTTACCTCACAGGGTAAGTTTTCTCTGTGACATCAGGAAAAGACAGAGAAAACTCAACTACCTGATTTTTATAGTGATTTGATATCCTTTCATGAAAAGCGTGCATCACAGTTACAAAGTATTACTGCTTTTGCAACAACGAGCCATTATGTTGTATGGCAATTTATCACTTCTCTGTCTCCAAATATAAAAGGTGGATTTTGCCAAAGCAAAACCAGGAGAGCAGTACTGGTATTTTCTGTTCCCTGCTCTGCAGTGGAGACGTTTTATGTGAACTTAAGAAAACATGATCTGTGCCTAGACCAAGGGTGGGCAATTATTTCAGCTGGAGGGCCACTTAATGAGTTTTGGTGAGCTGTCCAGGACTGGAAGGGTAGCCCTACCCCTTGACAGGTGCCCTCCCACCCCCATTTGCCATTTTGGGACAGGAAGTCCCACCCCTAACCCCTGTCCTTGCCATCAGAAGTCCCTCTCCTTGCCCCCAGAAGTACTCCTTTTGGGAGGGGAGGGTTGCCATCTTGGAACCAGAAAAAATACAAATCATACACTAAAAGTCAAACACCTACTTTAACATATTTTAATTTTATTACAAAAAGTATTTTTACATAGTGTATATAGAGGTGATTGCATAATAGTGCAAAAATAAAACCTTACTCTTGTATATTGTTTGTGGGGTGTGTTTGGAATGTGTATGTATATATGGTAGGGTGTTGCGGGGGGGAGTTGTGTGTGTGTGTGGGGTATAGGGTATGTTGGGAGATTGTTGGGGGCAGGGTGTGGGCATGTGGGGTATGAGGGGGCCTGTGGGGACCCCCCACACATTCCTCCCCATAGTGCACAGCCCCTGCCACTGGTGGCAACAGCAGTAGCAGGTGGGGATGCTTGTGGGCTGCTTAAATGCTGCTGCCCAGTGGTGCACAGATCTGGCCAGCGTTGCACGTGGTGAAAAGGAGTGCAGCCAGGCCAGCCTGTCTCTATCGCGAGGGTCTCCCTGTGGTGCATGTGCAGCTCCTGGCACTCGTGCACCACCGGGGAAGCCCCTCACTGTGGAGCCAGCTGCCTTCCCCATGTGCAGGTGCTGGGACTCTGGTGGTGGTAGTGAGGAGCCCCGTTCCCTGTGTCCATTGTGGCAAGGAGTGGGGACAGCAGCCAGCTCTATTGCACAGGGCTTCTCCTAGTGGCATGTGAGTGGCTGGAGCTGCATGTGCACCCTGGGGAGCCCTGTGCGATAGTAGCAGGCCAGCCTAGCTGCGCTCCTTGCTGCCACATGCAGCACTGGCCAGGGCTGCACTGCCAGGTGGCAGTGCCTGTGTCTGCTGCTGCTGTTGGCAGGGGCTGTGCACCATGGGGAGGAGCGCAAAGGGCGCTCTGTGCTCCCGCCACCCCCCCAGGTGCAACTTGTTTCGTGTCTTGGGTAAGTAACTCGGACCCAGAATCAAAAAGGGGTTTTAGGTACAGAAGTACAGAATTGTGCTCCTTGAAACCCTGGCTGAGCTGCTGCGTAACTTGGGAGGTGTATCAACTCCATAGATATCTCAGTTTTGATATTAAAGTCTGCTAGGCATTGAAAGATTTGTTGCTATGTCCATTCCAAAGTGTCTCAGTTTAAAGGGGTCTAAGCAATAATGACATATGCCCCCCAGTGGTTGGGGGGGCGGGCACAGCAGTGCTGGGGGCGGTGGCGGCAGGAGCACGGCAACAGTAAGCAGGAGCTCCCACAGACACCACTGGTGCTGTCAGCGGCGGGGGGTGGGGTGGTGAGCGCCGACTGGGGTCAGCAACCACCTGCAGACATCGCTGGCAGCATCAGTGGCAGCCAGCGGCAATCGCTGATGCCCCTGTAGACGCCTCTGGCAGCATCGGCAGTGGGGGTGGTGAGCAGCGACTGCTTACAGGCGCCGCCAACAGTGTTGGTGGTGCCTTTTTGTAGGGGGTGCATTGCGACGCTTAGGGGGTGCACGTGCACCTCGTGCACCCCCCATGCGTTGCCACTGGGTCTGAGAAGTCCCAGTTTCTCATCCCTAAACCCTGCTGGAATCCATAAAGCATGAATTGACCTGCTTACCCCTCCCCAAGGGCTTAATCCAATATTTTGAGCACATCTACTGGACTGGGCTCTACCCAAAGTGCAGAAATAGCTACTACTTTCTTTTAAAATACAGTTTCCACGATGATGGAGCAACAGTACTTGCCTTTTCTGCAATATCTCAGTGGTTAGAGCACCTACCCAGAATGTCAGAAACCTCCTCTGCCAGAATCTGACAGCATCTGAATTTTATCCATAGATTGTGGCTCAATTCCTCATCTAAATTAAGTATTAAGTACAGACACTTCTCACTTGAAATGGAGGCCTTAAAATACTATGCTTAAAAACATAATAATAATATTTATGTCCAAGGATATTGCCTTGTTAAAACTATTTCAGCATAATTAAAGTGGCAAACCCCCATACATGTATACCAACAGTACATGTAATAATACATGTAATAATCCTTCTTAAAATTTTGTCTGCACCAGGGACCAATGTAACTATGCTGGTAAAACCCACATCCTTTACTGACAAAGTTGTCATTAAATTTTTCAAAATGAGCATAGGTCTAAAATGCCAGAGACTTGGATAAGAACAACAAGAAAAAAAAAAAGATCTAAAAATACATCTGGCACATGAGAGTTCCAGCAAAGTTTACAGAACAGCATATAGAACCAATGTCATAGCTGAGATTACATTTCTTAATTCATGTTGCACCTTGTATTACTAGTTTATTAAATTTATGTAACTACACACTAACTTCATTGAATGATGTCCAGTCAATTAATTATTTCTCTTTCCCAAATCCAGAGTATTATTTATTGATGCTTAATCAAATGAGAAGTCCTCAGAAGTAAGGTTCAGGACTAATTGTATGCATCTCACATGCCCCATATTATTTGCAGTTCACCATTCCTGTGGTTTTAGTCTGTTACAATTAGCAAACAAACAAAAAAGGCATGCCCTGCAAATTTTAAATCCGATTACAGTTCAAAACTTTCTTTTTTGGAGGAGTGAAGCTAACATTTGAAAGTATCTGAGCTGAGAACTCAGTTTTTTAAATGCTTTTCACACAGAATACAAAATCATTTTTAAAATACAGGTAAAGTGACATTCATGGTCAAAGTTCATAGAACCATAGAAAATTAAGGCTGGAAGGGACCTCAGGAGGTCATCTAGTCTGACTTCTTGCTCAAAGCAGGACCATCCCCAACATTTTCTCAAGCCCCCAAGGACTGCCATTTCTAACTGAGAAGATCAGGCTTGAGCTCTCAAACGTCCAATACCCAGCTCGCAACACAAGCCCCTTGGCCACAGAACTCAGCTAATGTATTAATTTCACCTTCTCCCTGGAGCTCTGTACTCATTTCTATTTTCCTGGTCATGATTCAAAAATAAATAAGTGGATAGACGTTTTCCCACCATTCTAGTAAGTTTTGGATCAGTCTTCACTGCCTGTGGCTGTGCTTGGTAAGGCACATTTTCATCATGTCCTACGTAAAATGACCTGCAGTACTTGCTCCTCTTTCATCTCCCACAGCTTGAGGATGAACAAAATAATTATGAAACACTCCTGTGCAAGGGCATCTATTCAAAAGTTTGCAAGAGCCATCTGTCAGGTTTTACACATACATTACTATGAACTTACTACAAAACCATCTGAGGAACAGAGGAAGAAACAGTATTTGTGAATATCAGATGGACTCTGCAAAGAGAACAGCTGAAATATTTATGTTTTTATGCTGTCTGACTGGCAAAAAATCCTGATCACAGATGCTTGCTTCTCTAAAAGTGTGGAAATGTACACCCCAACCTCTTTAGTCATTAAACTTGAAGGCTAAGTACAGACAGTCAAAAAAGCCTGAGGCTGAATTGATTCAATCTTTGCAGGTTTCTTTAAATTGCCTAGAGTGAACTGATAAGCAAGTGAACCAATGTGCTGTTTGTTTGGGTTTTTTATGTCCGCAAGCATCCACTGGCAAAAACCAGAGTCACCACCTATGCTGTCAGTGATTTTTTTTTTGGATACATAATTCTCAAATTAATATAATCAGATTATTTGGGGGTAAAGTCAAAGTCCCCCAGAGACATCAGTTTCCTATAGTAAACAGCATATTAAGATTGATGTGACTAGCCTTGCATCCAGCCTCCTTTGACACTGGCCGAAGTGACCAGGCACCTAATTACAGCAAGCCCAGCCTGGGTCCACAGCAGGGCTGAAATTTATGCTTTTAGAGCTGCAGCAAGACACTGTAAGCGATCTACTGCTGTACCTATTAATTTGAGGGTAGAAGATGGGGAAAGAAACACCTTTACTATTACAACAAAACCTATAAAGGTTTAAATTTCAAGTTTTGGGGTGATGATTGGCTACTCTTGTGGATAAACCTCCTTGATTTGCTCATTCATTCATTCCTTCTGTAGGAATAGTGGTCTCTATAGTTAAAGCATTGGCCTGGAACTCAAATGATTGTTTCAGCTCCTAGCTCCTTTGCAGATTCACTGTGTAATCTTGACACAAATTATTTAATCTTTTGGTCCCTCAGCACCCCATCTGTACTGTGAAGTTCTCATCTCTGTGTCTCACCAGGCTGCCACAAGGAAAAATGTATTAATGTTTATGAGAAGCTTGGAATCTACTATGGGAGTCACAAAGCAGGTCAGACTACATCAAAATGGTCCTTTTTGGAATTGATCTATAAAGATCTATGAAGCCACACAATGTTGTAGTGCAGGATCCATTCATAAACTTGCATTGTGGATTCTTTCCCAAGCTTTATAAAAGCCTTATGTGCAGCTTGCCTCAATTTCTCCTCCCCCTTAGTGTAGCTTTTTCTTGTGGTTCTTCACCAAGCATTGCTGCCTCCTCTTTCATATGACTCAGCTGCAAGCAAACTGGTGATACAGCAGGCTCTCACAGTTAACTTTCATTATTGATCAGAATAAAAATTCAGAATAATTTGTCCTGTAGGGACTTGGCCTGCTTAGAGGACATGGGTCAGTGTTTACAAATCTCAGGCAGGCCACTGGTTTGAAATGACCTAACCTGACTGTCTGTCTGTTCACAAGTGCCTCCACCAGATGGTGTGGTATCTTCATGTTTTAAAGAATCAAAAAAAAAAAAAGAATGCTCTGAGAGGCACTCTCCCCTTCTCTGAGGTACTTTCATCATAAGTAATTTGTGCAGAAAAAGCAAGGGCAGAAATCATCTGCCATTGACCGAGGTGGTTCCTGGCCATCAGGGCAGAGGCGCATCAGATAGAGCGGGAAACTTCTTTTCATTTGATTCATATTAGTTTTCTAAGGTGCAGTACAATAGTTTGCAGAGATGACGATATCTATAGGCAAGCCCAGAGACCTATACACAAAATTCAGGTAACATAGCCTGCTAGGCCTGACATGCTGCAACAGCCCTAGAGAATGCAGTACTGTATAATCATTACGAGAACAGAATCATTCTAAAACCAGGGTGTAAGAATATGTACAGCCCACATAAGATTCAGTGTAAGCAACCAAAAAAAAGAAAGAAAGCTTAGGCAAGAGGGGAACCAAATCTCAATCTAGGTTAGGGTTGGCAATTATTTGGGCTCACAGGCCACATAGGGAGTTTTGAGTAGCTGTCGTGGGCCAGGTAACCCCGCCCCTGCAACAGCTCACCGAACCTCCCTTTGTGGGATGGGGCTGCAGGCAATGTGGGGGGTGGGGGAGGGGGGTCTGGTATGGGCACAGGTGGCAGCTTCACCCTTTGGCCGCCCTTTTACCCCAAGGAGGGGCTCAGGCAGATGCCCCGATTCCCAGGAGGAAGCTGCCACCTGCCTCCACAGCTGATGCTGGTGCTCGTCCAGTGCTGCTTCCAGCACACAGGCCACTAGCTGGTGTAAGCTGCCGGGCCATACTGTAGGTGCAGGATGGTTGGGAAGGAAGGGAGAGGGGATTCAGAGAGAGGCAGCCTTGCCCATGATGAGTGGCAGTGGCTGGTGCTGGGTGCCAGGCAAAAGCAGGACCTGGTAGCAGGTGTGCTCACCACTTTTGGCATGGGGCCCTTCTGGCTATGGCTGCCCAGAGCCCATGCTGGGACTGCCCTGTGGCTCCTCCCTACTCTTGCTGCCCTGTACCACCTCTAGGCCACTCCAGGATTGTGGGGTGGTGGCAGCAGCAGCAGAGAGGAGCCACAGGGCAGCCCCAGCACAGGCTTCAGGGAGCTGCAGCCAGAAGGACCCCAGAAAGAGCAAGCGCACCTGCTGCCAGGTCCTGCTTCTGCCTGGCACCCAGCACTGGTCACTGCCACTCATCATGGGTATGGCTGCCTCTCTCTGTCTTCCCCCTACTTCCTGCCCCCCTGTTTTCTCCCCCC